TTTAGAAGATGCTTGGCACACAGTCAGCCCCAAATGTAATGAGTGTTTGTGCTGCTGCGTTGTTAAATGTTGTCGAGGTTGAGCTGGCCTAGAGCTCATTTGATTGGGTTTACTAAGAACTAAGTTAAAGCCCTAATCGGTTTGGCTCAGTGGATAGAGCGTCGGCCTGCGGACTCAGGGGTCCCAGGTTCGATTCTGGTCAAGGGCATGTACCTTGGTTGCGGGCTCATCCCCGGTGGGGAGTGTGCAGGAGGCAGCTGATCGATGTTTCTCTCTCATCGATGTTTCTGACTCTCTATCCCTCTCCCTTCCTCTCTGTAAAAAATCAATAAAATAAAAAAAATTTTTAAAAAAAGAACTAAGTTAAAGAATTGAGCTGCTAGGGGCTCCAGTGGCGCAATCGGTTAGCGCGAGTACTTATAAAGAATTGAGCTACAAGAAGGAAAAAAAAAAAAAAAGAATTGAGCTGCAGCAAACTCCCTTTATTTTTTTTAAGATATGATTTCATTTGTATATAACATTTTTTTTCTTTTTTTTAAATTTTGTTTTATTGCTTAAAGTATTACAAAGAGTATTACATATGTCTCCTTTTTTTTTTTCCCTTGACCTTTCCCTGCCTCCCCTACCCCGCCCCCCCCCCCAGGGGCTTGGGGCCATTGGGTATGCTTATATGCATGCATACAAGTCTTTCAGTTGATCTCTTACCACCACCACCACCACCCCCCCCGCCCCTGTGTCCTTCTTTATCATCTCCATACTTGCTGAGCCTGTTTCCACCCTGAAACTGGAACATGCGTCTGACTAAGCTGAGGATATTCATGAACTTAATGAAACATGACTTGTACCAGCACCCCCTCAGTCATTCTGGGCGGATGGCCCCCCACCCCCCCGTATGTAAATGTCTGAACAGAGACTTCGTTGCCGGACTGTGAGCAGGTCCTCCAAGGAGCTGAAAGTGAGACATGGTTTCAGAGAAGTGAGAGGGTCAAGGTTGTGTCAAAGCAACCAGGGCTGCCCCCGGTCCCTGCCATCCTCAGGCTGGGCGGAGGCCTCAGCCAGCCCCCATCGTAGTGTCATACACACGGGGAAATGCCACGCTGCATGCATTCGGGTACTGAAACTATTAGGGGATTTTATTGTTTTGCCTCAAATAAATTTTTACCTTAACTGCTGCTGTCTGCAGGCCACCTGACCCGGACGGGTGCTTTGAGAGAGAAAGAAGTCTTTAAAAAGGCATTTCTAAGGAAAGCCCTTTCCCTAAGTCCCGAAGAGTGGTGGGCACATCTCTGAGAAACAGCACCAGTGACAGCCGCCTCTCCCAGGCCTCAGGCAGGCTTGGACTTGCATTGGGGCTGGCGTCCCTGCGTGGGTACAGGGTACAGGTTTACAACCTTAGCGGGGGCCGCCCCCTGGGCCTTGAAGGGGAAGCAGTAGACAAAGGGAACATCTCAGAAGGAACAGCGGGGGGTAGGCTGGTGGGATAGGATGGGGAGTGGGGAGCCAGCAGACCCTCTGTCTGGCTCTGGTGCCCGAGGCAGGGGAAAGGAAGGGGGCTGTTTCGACTGTGTCTTGAGTGGTCCCAGGCCACCTACTCTTCCGCTCCAGTTAAAGGTCTGTGCCTGTCCTTGCCGAGTCATGGTTCTTCAGCCAGGTCCCATGGCACTCAGGGTTTGGGGTGACCCCAGTTTTGCTGCCTCTTGGACTGCATTTAAGTTGTATTCTATATCAGTTTAGTTAATTCGCTTAACTGTTTATTGAGTTTGCCTATGACTTCTTTGATTGCTCCTTGCATGGATGGATGGATGGATGGACGGACGGACAATGGATGGACGGACGGACGGATCAATGGATGGACGGACGGACGGATCAATGGATGGACGGATGGATGGATGGATTTGCTCTGGCTTTTCTTCCTTACTGCACTTAAGTCTCTCTTGTCCCCTTTCCCCTCCTCACTTTTTTACATCTCACATTTTTATTTACCTTAAAAAAATTTATTGGGGTGACATTGGTTAATAAAAGTATATAGGTTTCAGGTGTACAGTTCTATAACACATCATCTGTATATTGTGGTGCGTGTTCACTACCCCACATCAAGTCCCCTTTCATTGTCATTTATCCCCCCTTTACCCTCGCCTGCCTCCTCCCACCTCCCATTCCCTGTGGCAATCACCATACTGTGTCTGCATCTATGGTGGTTTTTTCTTTGCTTAATCCCTTCGCCTTTATCACCCAGCCCCCAACCCCTGACAGCTGTCAGTCTGCTCTCTATCCATGGGTCTGTTTCTATTTTGTTGATTAGTTTCTTTTGTTCATTAGATTCCACATACGAGTGACATCATATGGTACTTGTCTTTCTCTGACTGGGTTATTTCACTTAGCATAGCCCTCTCCAGGTCCATCCATGCTGTCCCAAAGGGTAAGATTCCCTTCGTTTCTATGGCCGAGTAGTACTCTATTGTGTAAACGCACCACAGCTTTTTAATCCACTCATCTGATGGGCACTTGGGCTGTTTCCAGATCTTGGCCCCTCTCACAGCTGCAATTGGATGTTTGTCTAATTATTTGTATGAAGTCTGGTGTCTCTAACAGAACATAAACTCCAAGAGGGCAGGGACCCTGCTTGTCTGGTTCTCCCACACAAAATAGATGCCCAGTGAGTATTTCGGAATGAATGAATGAATGAATGAATGATGGACCAGGCTGTGGTGAAAGGGGAGCTGAGCAAGGAATCAGAAAACCTGTGTCCTGTCCCTCTGCTGCCCTAAACTTGCTGAGACATGGAGCAGTTGGTGTGCCCCTGGGGCCTATTTGCCCATCTGTAAAATGGACGTAGCATCCCCACTGCACCTGGGCGTGCAGAGGGCTCGAGAGGGAGTCGGGAGGACGTGGACACACCTGGAAGAGTGGAGGCCTTCAGTTACCGCCGTTTCCCTTTCCTTGGTGCTCTGTCCCGTCGCCTGTGAAATGGAAGTAATTTGAATACACTTTAGAGTTGCTTCCAGCTCAGAATTACTGCGATTCTTTCTGAACAGAAGTCTCCCTTCCCTCCCTCCTCGCTTCTCTCCACACCGTTCCTGGCTTGTTTCTCTTTCCTATTTCACAGTTCAGGGAACATCGCTTCTCTCCCACCTCCACCCTACGCGCTCATTCATTCATTCATTCGAAGGCATTTCAGGCCCCACTAAGTGTGTGGGCAGACTCTCCGCTTGGGATCCGGCTGCTTCCATCGGCCGTCCCACGTGCTGTGGTTGAATCCGGGAGGTAGTGCGTAATCAGCAAAGCAGCCGGGGGGTGCTGCTGTCTTTTTGAGGGCAGTCTCCCTGAATTAAGGGGGATAGTTCTAAATATCCTTGCAAATAGACAGGTAGGGATATTTGCTTCTCACTTGAAATTACTGGGCACAGTTGCCTACAGTTGGTTATTGAAATGTCTTGATTTCTCCTGCGCTCTTGCAGTTACCCTGGTTGCTACTAAGCAAAAACTTCAAATTTCAGTTTAATGTCTTTTCCCTTAACAGCCGTTCTTCTCTCTTTAACAAGAAAGTTAAGCCTGGAGCAAGATGCATCTAAACGCATTTGGGGGGTATCAGGAATACCCCGGTCTTAGTGGTGGTGATAAATGTTTAATGACTGGGTTGGGGTGTGGTGGGGGGGGCTCTCATTGAAATCCTTCCATCAGAGAGGTTAACCACGGGCTTGTGACAGGTTTGAATCAGCTCCAGCACACCTGGTCCCGTAATCCTCACCGTCCCTCTGGCCTGCTTCCTGTCATTGGGTTTGATCTCAATAGCACCCTTGTCAGCCAAGAAAGCGGGCTGCCCGACAGCCACCAATACGGCCTCCCTACCCCTCGTCCCCACATCCAGTCACCAACTCCTGTGATAATCTCTCCAGTCCATCCACTCGCGGGGGCGTCCCGGCCTGTCTGTCGGTCCGCCACTCCTTGCTCTTTCTCTGCTGCCACCCAACCACTGACCGCTCTGCAGACGGTCAGCCGGCGGAAACTTACATTGCGTCCTGCTCATCTTTTGTTTATACCCTTTCTGTAGCTCTCCTTTGCCATCAGGATACATCCCAAGCCCTTAGCATCCTTCCCTGACCCCTCCAGCCCCTGCTCACACACTCGGAGCGGGCCCCGCCCACCTCCGCAGCCTCCTTCCTGCTCCCCACTCCCTGGCGCTCTTTGTTCCAGACACTGGGAACTGCTTTTATTTCCTCAAACAGACCACACTCCTTGATTCAGGACAGGCCTTGGAGCGCTGCTTCCTCTATCTTCCACCCACTCTCCTCCCTCCTTAGCCAGCCCTCAGCTGGTGGACTCCCCTCCTCTTTCAGCATGGCTTCCTGGGGAAGGCCCCGCCCAGGTGGCTCTCCTTGCCTCCTCTGTGTCCTCTCCACGAAGTGAGACTCCTCGAGGCCCTGGAGCGACGCCCGTCTTGTTTGCTGCCATATTCCCAGCATTGCCCACATGCCTGGCATGTAAGGGGCGCTCCACCAATGTTAACTCCACTTGTTGGGTTTTTGTGGGCTCCAGTTAAAGAGTGGATTCTAGCCCTAGCTGGTTTGACTCAGTAGATAGAGCATCAGCCCACGGACTGAAGGGTCCAGGGTTCACTTCCGGTCAAGGGCACGTGCCTCGGTTGCAGGCTCAATCCCCAGCCCTGGTTGGGCGTGTGCGGGAGGCAGGCAATCCATGTGTCTCTCTCACATCGATGTTTCTCTCACTGTCACCCCTCCCTTCCTCTCTCTCTAAAAATCAATGGAAAAATATCCTCAGGTGAGGATTAAAAAAAGAAAAAGAGTGGTTTCTACCTGGTCAGGCATCTACTTCCTATACTTTCTGTTGGCGGTTTATCAGCTTAGCACACGAAGTAGCTGATGAATAATTTTTACCACGAAATTCAACTCCTCTCCCCATAGAGCATCTTGGAAGATGGTTCTCTGTTTTCAACAATCATATTTTTTTCCTAACCTTTTTTTTTTCTCTCTCTCTCGTAGGTTTCATCAGCTGCCAGCTGATGCGTTTTGGAAGTATAGGTGGGAATATCACTTTGTCGCCATCAAGCACTGTAAACTTTACAGAGATCATATGGAAAAAAGGAAAGGATAAGGTTACAGAATGGAGTACAAACTTTAACGTCACAACTTACTCCCTTTTGGAAGGGAGGGTTCATTTAGACCCTAAGTCAGGTGACCTCACCATCTCCAATTTAACATCATCAGATGAAGGTGAATATGAAATGAAGTCCATGGATCTGACAGATAGCTCTAAATTTCATCTTACAGTCCTCGGTGAGTATTTCATAACTTGGTCTGTTTAAAATGGCAGGTTTCACCTGGCTGGCATGGCTCAGTGGTTGAATGTTGACCAGGGCGGTCACAGTTTGATCCGTGGTCAGGGCACATGTCCACATTGTGGGCTCGATCACCAGTGTGGGGTGTGCAGGAGGCAGCCGATCGATGATTCTCTTTCATCATTGATGTTTCTACCTCTCTCTCCCTCTCCCTCTCCCTTCCTCTCTGAAATCAATAAAAATGTATTTTTATGGCTGACTAATATTCTGTTGTATGTACATATACCACAGCTTTTATATCTATTCATGCTGCGATGGACACGTAGGTTGTTTCCGTGTCTCGGCTACTATACATAATGCTGCCGTGAACATCGCCCCCAATTTTTCTGGATCGTTTTAGTGCCTGGTTCATTTTCACTGTTTCTGATGTTCCTGCCAGGGTCATAGTTCTCGGGGATTGTGATATTGAAATAAAGGTTCTTTTTAATGTCCCAGTTTCTCAGGCCTTGCTGTCCTCGCTTGCCGTGGTGTAACCTAGAACTTGTCATTTCCAGTCATTCTGATCCCTTCATCTCTCAGTAGCAGATGTCCTGCCCCTTCTACTTTTAGCTCAGGTCCTCGGCTGTGCTGACTGATAGCCTGAGGAAGCCTGGCGAAGGCCTGCAGAGGAGCCAGACACGGGGGCGCGTTTCCATCAGTGATAAACGCGGTATCGACTGGGGGACTTCAGGTCCTGCTTGGGGAACCTGGGCTGCAGCCTGTGGCTGTGAGGAGCCTCTGTCTCCCACAATAGACTCGGTGAAATCTAGTTCTGGAAGATGACCCGGGTGGTAGGTATTTACGGTGGATCGGGGAGAAGCGGTGCCGGGGTAGAAGCCACTGTGGTCGCTCAGGTGGACAGAGGTGTCCGTAGGAGATGTTGGAAAAGGAGAGGATCCGAAGATAAGCCAAGGAAGACTCAACCGTATTTAGAACTTGTCATAAAAAGACATAGGATGACTCATGGCTTTACACCGGTTGACAAAATAATTCATCGTCCTCGTTGTCTTAAAATGGGGAAGTCAGACTTCTGGGGGAGGGTGTGTTTAGTTCTATTTAAGTGCGTTGGTATTTACTCTTCCGGAGACACCAGACCCAACGGAAGGCTTTCAGAAAGGGAGTTTTACGGGTAGAAGGGGGTTTCCTGCCACCTCTTGCTTCTGCATAGGAGTTGCTATCTGCTTTCCCTTCTCCCTCAAAGCCCCCTGCGAGTCTCCGCTAATGGTGTCCATTAGCTCTTCCTCAGCCCCTTCACAGCCTTCGTTGCATTGGAACGTCCATGTAAGTCGAAGTGACTGCCCTTCCCTGAAACGGTCCAGACCGGTGTGTAATTTTTTACTGAAGTTAATGGAAAGATGCAGGTGCCAGCTGGTCTGTAGAGGAAATCCTCATCTCTGACAGGGTGGTGGGCTGAATTAATTAATTACACAGCGACTAACTCAGTTATTGTAGGGGATGAAGGAGGCACATTGCTGGCCTGTTGAATCTGTTTAAGGTGCAGGTTGACTAATCTGTTAGTCAACAATCCGTGGTAAGGCCCCGGGCAGCGAGAGACTAGGAAAGGTTATCGATGGGAAGATCTGAGTGCGGAAGTTCACCCAGATGCCACAGAAAGGTCTGCATACCTATTGGTGAGCAGGTGGCTCGGCTCTCCCAGGCCGGGATGTGACAATGGTGGAGCAACGAGAGCACCTGGAAGAGCTTCTGTGTCGCTAAGTGGGCTCTGACAGCGTAGGACGTGATACTAGTTCTTCCACGGGTCTCCCCTCACAGCATTTTCCTATCCCACCTTGCCTTGACCGTGACCGTGTTCTGTTCTCTCTTACAGAGGAAAACGAGACAGACTTAGCAATGGGTTTCTCCTTTTATAGGACAGGAGCCTGGGCTGGATTTCTCTAAAGTCTTGCAGCTCCTACAGGAGCTGTGGTCCAAGGCCGCACAGCCTGCCGGGGCTAATGCTCACACCTCCCAGCCCCCGGCCAGTGACCCCTGCCAGAGCCCCCCGCCCTCACGGGAGCTTCACCTGGCCAGCCTTGATGCAACTTTGCTATAATTTGCTTTTTAGTACATGTTTATAATGTATTGAAATTTTATTATCCAAATGCTACCAGGACTTTTTTTGTGTATATTTCCTGTATATTTACGTTTTCTCAGATCTCTTATAATTAGTTAGGGGGTGGGAGTAGAGATGCAGGAAGGCATATGAATGAAATATAGGACGAGTGAGACACAAATGAGCATTACGATGTGAGAGGGTGAGATGGTGCAGTGGGACCTGTGAGTGTCTTCGCCTGCGGTGTGCAGGCCCAGGCTGCCTTAGCCGGTAGGAGGCGCTTCCCGGCGCTTCCCGGGGGAAATCTGAGAGGGAGGCCTCGGGGCTGGCCATTCTCCGACAGGTACCACGCCTTATTCTACCTGTCAGCGGGGCCAGCCCACGGTACCTTTCACAAAACCCTTTGAGTCACTTTGAAACATTTCAGATTTTCGAAAGGTAGTATAAACTATTTCCTCTCTGTAGATTAAAAAGCACCCCACTGCTCTAGCCGGCTTGGCTCAGGGGATAGAGCGTCGGCCTGCGGACAGAAGGGTCCCGGGTTCGATTCCGGTCAAGGGCACATGCCCAGGTTTCAGGCTCGATCCTCAGTAGGGGGCGTGCAGGAGGCAGCCGATCAATGATTCTCTCTCATCGCTGATGTTTCTATTTTCCCTCTCCCTTCCTCTCTGAAATCAATAAAAAAAATACTTTTTAAAATGCAATTCTCTACAAAAAAAAAAACGCACAAAAAAACACCCCACGTAGTTATGGGGAGCACCCCACACTCAGGCACGTGACTGTTTTTAGTAAACGTGGTAACGAATACTTGTAATAAGTGAGAAAAATAAAAACTAGAAATCCTCATGTCGCTCAGGTGAGATCTGCCGCTGAATGAGTTTGCCACCATCCTGTTTGCGATCTTGGGGCTTTCAGAGTCAAGGATGAGGGGGCAGGGCCCCCAGGTGTCCTGAATTGGAGCAGGCAGATCGGACTCCGGCGGGGGGGGATGCTCTCCTATTGGTGCCCAGGGAAGTGGCCTGCCCATCTCTTAAACTCACAAGGAAGTTGGGGGCTTTTCGTAAGTTCACAGATGATGAGTCTGCATATTATTATTCTTGGACTAAACGTTACCTTTTTTCCTAGACCCTCTTCGGTCTCCGACACTAAATTGTACAGTGACTAATGAGATCATCTCCGTCCATTGCAAGATGCCTCAAAGTTACCGCCGGCATCGGGAGCTGTTACGCTACGCATGGCATTGCCCTTTCCCACAGTGTGAGGGAAGCTGGGAGCTCGAGGCCCCTGTGCTAAATTTTACGAAGGAGGGCGATCTCTCACGGGAAGTACGTTGTTTTGTTAAAAATCAAGAATCCAACAGGACGTCCTCAATCGTTTTGTCAACCTGCGTCCCAAGTGGTGAGTACACAGCTGCACGTCCCATGGCAGAGATGCTACATAGTAACGGTGTTCACCGACCAGTGGTGGTTTGTGGGTTTCAAACTACAGGGACAGTGGCTAACGTACATTTCACAAATTCACAATGTAAAGTGAGCTACAGTGTTCATGGACACCCATTAGAGATATAAGCGAACATTTTTAGCACTTCCTCTGTCAAACACCACTCTAATACGAGTGTTAATGAATTCACACACGACCCAATGAGTTGGGTGCTATAGTAATTATTCCTTTTTATGGGCAGAAAGCCAAGACACGGAGTTTAAGTTGCCTGCCCCAGGCCAACAGCTAGTAAGTAGAAAAGCCTGGATTTGGAATCAGGTCATCTTGGGTCCAGAGCCCTTGCTCTTAACTATTTATAATTCTGTTTCTTTTTCTTTTTTTAAAATATGTTTTTACTGCTTTTTTAGAGAGAGAGGATCGGGGAGAAGAAGAGAGAGAGAAACCTCGATGAGAGAGAATCATTGATCGGCTGCCTCCTGCACACCCCCACTGGGCATGTGCCCTGACCAGGAATTGAACTGGTGACCTCTTGGTTCCTGGGCCGACACTCAACCACTGAGCCACACCCACCAGGCTGCTTCGTAACATTCTTCTTCATTACCTTTATGTTCTCACATGTGCTACAAGACTCTGCATTTGATACGTTTGTCTAGTTTAGCGATTTTCAACCAGTGGGCCGCAGTGATTTTTAAAACATGCAGTACCTGATCACTTAGTCAGGGGCACTGACCTCATTTCCTTAGATTGTCAAATAAAAAAATGGGACAGTTGTGATTTGTGGGCTTCACATCACATGAGATGAAAAAGGTTGAAAATCGTTGGTCTAACACCCAGTCAATCTCATGCCAAGCTGTCTCACTGATGGTCTTTTTTATGTTAAGTCTTAAGTACATTTGTAAGTGGCCATTTTTTTATCTAATTTTTACATTGTATCTTCAGTTTACAAACAAAAGGATCAGTGATTTGAAAGTGGTTCATTAAAACATAAGAGAACAGATGAATTATAGTATTAATTATAATTCAGAATAACATCATAATTATATATCGGGAACAGGATTTCCAGGGTAAATAGAGAATATGCGTTTCTTTGGGCTGAGATAGGGTGATTCTGTGAATTAAATTTTTTTTTTTAACAAGCCACTGAAACAGAAAAGGACAATTAGTAAATGTAATGAATATAAAACCTTGAATTTTATTTGATGAGTGAGCCATTCTCCTTACGTCTCCAGTGTATCGTACCTTTTGAAACTTCAAATAATGACATGAAGCCATTAAAGTTAGGGTTTCGTTTTCAGACAAAGCAGTGTGACTTCTCGGGTAAAACAAACATTTGCAGGAAAAGTACGAAATGGGTTCCAATTTGCAGCTGATGGATTTGGTCCCTAAAGACAGAGAAAAGACCAAACCCACGGAGGTGTCAGTCATAGAGGCACCATTTGCACAAGCCACACAACTGCCAGGAAGATTTAAAAACCCACTGCAGCCCTAACTGGTTTGGCTCAGTGGATAGAGCATCGGCCTGCGGACTGAAGGGTCCCGGGTTCTATTCTGGTCAAGAGCACATGCCCGGGGCTCAATCCCCAGTAGGGGGCGGGCAGGAAGCAGCCAATCAATGATTTATCTCTCATCATTGATGTTTCTATCTCTCTCTCTCCCTCTCCCTTCCTCTCTGAGTTCAATAAAAACATTTCATTTATTTTTTTTAAAGGGGAGAATGATGATTTTTATTTTTTTAATATATTTTATTGATTTTTTACAGAGAGGAAGGGAGAGCGATAGAGAGTTAGAAACATCGGTGAGAGAGAAACATCGATCAGCTGCCTCCTGCACACTCCTTACTGGGGATGTGCCCGCAACCAAGGTACATGCCCTTGACCGGAATCGAACCTGGGACCCTTGAGTCCGCAGGCTGACGCTCTATCCATTGAGCCAAACCAGTTAGGGCAATAAAAACATTTTAAAAACCCACTGCAAAGTTAGTGACAGTTGGTATGCTTGGAGCAAATTTATGAATTCCACCTGTTGGGTGTTGCATACTACCCAAGGCAGACTGGATAATACCATCCATGTGCGAGCAGATGGCTGCTTTCCAGTGGGAGTGGCAGAAAGCCACACCAGCGTGCCGTGCGCATAGCCAACCAGGAGAAAGTGGCTGACCGGGTACAGCCTGAGTCAGCAAGTAGAAATCTGGAAAAGCTTCGTGTTCCACGATGCAGCATCCTTGAAGGACAGAATTCCTGGACAAGCTCCTCTGTAGAATTATGTGAATGTTGCAGGAGGTTTGCAAGCATTCGGTCCTTGCCTGGTTTTCATTGAACACTTGCCATTGGGATTGAATGTTACACCTCGTAGACACCTTGAAGAGAAAGGTCGTCACCATAACATCCCTCTCACCGATGTGAAATACGAGTTGTGATTTTGAAAACAAACCCTTTTTTATTAAATAGTTGTGATTCATCTTCTTAAAAATCTCCCCTCCCCCATTGATGGATCACATTACATTGTAGATTTTGAAAGTTTGAGAGACATTGCCAGATAGTTCTTTGGCCTTTTAAATCCCAGAGTAGTGTTGACATGAGATACATATATGTCTGGGACCTGTTTTTGGTCTCCAGTAACCAAATGTTTTCTTCTCTGAAAATCTGGGCCTGAGCTTAATGGTCTAAATCAGCGGTTCTCAACCTGTGGGCCGCGACCCCTTTGGCGATCGAACAACCCTTTCACAGGGGTCACCTAAGACCATCCTGCATATCAGATATTTACATTACGATTCATAACAGTAGCAACATTACAGTTATGAAGTAGCAACGAAATTAATTTTATGGTTGGGCCACAACATGGGAACTGTATTTAAAGGGCCAGAAGGTTGAGAACCACTGATCTAAATGATTCTTTTCAACAATAAAAACCCAGGGTCTCTCTCTCCCTCCTCCCTTCCTCTCTCCCCCCTCTCCCCCCCGGATGATTTTAAGTACTTTTCTGGAGTTGCATGCACCATAACAGATACAAATCCATGAAGATGTAACATTTAAATATTGGATCTTATTTGTTCAAGTGTTAATTTCCTGTGTAGACTTTCTAATGCTTTAGCAAGTGAATCATAGTGACTCACATCGACGAGCCTGCCACTCGTTAGCAAACCCTTCCAAAAGCTGTTTCCTCGCCACCGCCATTGTAGACTGGCTGGACAGGAGTTATTTACTCCTTAAGAGTGAGGAGACTGGTTCAACAGGTGGGGTGACTGTTCCAGTGTCGCTCAAGTAAAGGAGACGGGATTAAAATGTAGGCCTTCAAATTCCGTTGCTGTGGCCAAATGCATTGTCATACCAGGAAATGGGAGGCGCCTGCCGGCCTCTGGTCACAACATTTTGGGCAAAATATCAATACACAAATACCCTTGTTTTATTTTTAACGACAACTTGTTGAATACATATGGTTGATTCATTCACATGGAACTCACGGCCAATAGTGCTGTCGAACTCAGGCCTAGAGGAAGCTTATCCAACAGGCACGTTTTCTTTGTGAGGCACATGGCAGCCTTTCTGTGCTTAGGGATGCTGGGCCACGTGTCAGCACTGTGCTTGGGAGACCGTTGTAGACAGTGAAACCCCCAGCAAAGACCAACAAACATTAAAACATGTGGGAACTGGCACTGAAGGGACCACGAATAGAACACTTGCTGATGGAATGAGAGCGGGCAGGGAGGCAGCGTGTGGCCTTGCTCAGACTCGGCGGGGACACGTGCGTCGGGCGACAGGCTTTTCACCATCGGCCACACGTGCCCACGAGTGACCCTGAAGGTGCTGTGGGGATGGATTTGAGGAAAACAAAGTTTAGCAAGTAGGTAAATTGCAAACATGGAAGTGGCAAGTAAGGACGATCAACTGTATCTTTATTTTGACCAGGTCAGCTAATTGCATTTCTCTTCTTTCTTTCCTTCTTTTTTTTTTTTAACAGATAATTCAAGGCATAGATATGCACTCACAGCTGTACCATTCGCAGTAATAGTCTGTGCAGTAGGTATGTATACTCCTCTTAAAAATATAAGTTTTCAAACGTGAGTTGGTTTTTCAAAGGCTGGAAAATGAATTTGGAGATAGAAACAAAGTTTGAATTTGTAGGCATTTCGAAAGAAGCAGAAACTTTTGTGTTTTACTTGTCTGGTTGCCGAGTGTGCCAGGTCCCTCCGAAGATTCTGCATTATTCTAAGGTGGGATGAGCCCTCGGCCCACGGCGAGTTTCCAGGCAGGGGCACAGCCAGATATTCCTGCGATCTAGTCTACAGCCTCCTTCTGTCCGGGGCCCACTTCAACATAGAGTTACACTTCTGGTCTCCAAGCCAGATTTTGCAAAAGATCCTTTACTCTTGGCTGCTGTGGTCACAATGCCCATGTCTTACAGTCTAGAGCAGTGATGGTGAACCTTTTGAGCTGGGCATGTCAGCATTTTGAAAAACCCTAACTTAACTCTGGTGCCGTGTCGCAGATAGAAAATTTTTGATATTTGCAACCATAGTAAAACAAAGACATATTTTTGATATTTATTTTATATATTTAAATGCCATTTAACAAAGAAAAATCCATCAAAAAAATGAGTTCGCGCGTCACCTCTGACACGCATGTCATAGGTTCGCCATCACTGGCCTAGGAGGAGGTCCCAGGTAGGAAGGAACTTTTGTTGAGTTGGGTGACATGGAGTCCTATATAATAAAAGTCTAATATGCTAAGTGTCTAGTCATCCGGTCAGCCATTCAACCAATCAAAGCATAATATGCTAATGATATGCTAAGGCTGTTCAACCACTCGCTATGACGTGCACTGACCATCAGGGGGCAGACAGTTGACCAGTCACTATGATGTGCACTGACCACCAGGGGCAGATGCTCTGACTGGTAGGTTAGCTTGCTGCTGGGGTCTGGCTGATCAGAACTGAGCGAGACGGGCCCGACACTCCCTGGAGCCCTCCTGTGGTCCCTCCCCGGCTGGCCAACTTCCCGAGTCCCTCCCTGGCCCCAATCATGTACCAGTGGGGTCCCTCGGCCTGGCCTGAGCCCTCTCACAATCCGGGCTGAGGAACAACCCCCACCCCGCACAGTGCACGAATTTTGTGCATCGGGCCTCTAGTGGGTAATAAAGATCTGGTGTTACCTGTGTTGCCTGAGACTTCCTTGGTCTCCCCAGAGATCTTGGGCCAACGTAGAAAGCAACCTGTATGCCCTGGACAACGGGTGACCTAACACGCAGCCCTTCCTCACATCCCAAAGGACATTGACCAGATGTGAACAGATGTTCTTAAAGGCCCGTCCATTTCCATACCCGCCTTCACCAAAAGGGTATTTGCAAGGCTCATTTGTGACTCCCACGGGGAGTGCTAACGAGGAAGCTAAAGGGCATTCAGTAGAGAGGAAATTACTCCAGTGTCAGTATTGGTAGCACCACGTAACCTAAAAACAATTGTTCTAAAAAAATAATCTGGCGCACGTCTCAGCTCTAAAGCCACGAGTTGGGAAATGGTGAGGTGCTGGGCATGGAGCTTTGGGAAAGGGAGTGAGTCGAAGGTGAACAGCTCCAGCACCTCGTTGTAGCGGGCAGACACCTCTACGTGCTCAGGCAGCCTGTGGGCCAGGCTGCTGGACCAGGAGGATGGCTCGAGGCTGAGGCTGGTGCCTTGTGGGAAGGAAACGGATGTGTACCCGTGGGAACGGTACCTTCACGCCCAAGCCTGCGCTGCCTGACACAGTAACCACGAACCACATGTGGCTGTCCAGCCCTTGAAATGTGGGAGTCCAGCACTCACTGGGCTGTGAGTATAAACTACACACTAGGCTTATAAGACAGTATTAGAGGAAGGAATGTGAAATGGGTCATTCATAACGTTTCTATTGACTACATGTTGAAATGAGAATATTTTTATATGTTGGGCTAATAAGTAAGACAGACTACGAGAAGTAATTTTACCCATTTCTTCCTATCTATTCTGTACGTGGCTACAGACATTTTTTAAATACTTGTGTGGCTCACATTATACTCCTATTGGGCAGCGTTAGTCCACACCATTCCAGCCTTGCCTTCATTGTCGGCCCTGTGCCCACTCTGCAGTAGACATACCATTTTGTCAGCAGTTTCTGCTTCTCTGTCATCTGATGACTCATTTTTTAGCAACTCTTTGGACCAACTCAGTCCCCAGTTTCATGGAAGCGTTGGGGACAGTGAGGTATGCTGGCCGACGGGGCTCTGGTTTTGAGTTTTCCACATCCACGTCTCTACGAGGCAGTTAGTACCTTCAGGTTTCAGCTTCCGTTTCCAGTTCTTTAATTGAGATGAAAATGTCTTCATTTGTAGGTTTTCTGAACTGTGCCAGACGGACGGACTGAACCACGTAAGTGCCCTGTAGACTGTGCTCTGGGGAAACTGTGTCGTGGCCTAGACCAGGACAGCCTCGCTGTCGGGTGCCAGTCGCTCGGGGAGCCAGCTTCTATGTATCTGCCAGGGCCTGGGACAGTACCCAGTGACAGCAGCAGAGAGAGATACGAACCACAGTTCGTTAAGCACCAGCCGCATGCCCGGCACTGCCCTGGCCACTCTCCATATCTCCTCCCATTGGACCCTCTCCACAAGCCTTGCACGGGGTCAGTACCACGTGCCAGAGACCCTGAAGGTGAGACTCAGGACTCCAGTCCCATGGCAGCAAGTGGGAGAGCCGAGACGCACATCGAGGTCCTCGGGCTCCGAGGGTTGTACTCTCCGCCAGCACATGTCCCTGCTCTCCCCCCCAACCCTCCCTCAGGAAGATCAGACCGAGGGTTCGCCTCAGGAGCCAGGGTCAGGGCTGGGCCCTGGTGTGCGCAAAGGATAGGACCCGGGCATGGTCACCAGGGGCAGTGTCCGTAGTAAATGCCATAAGGAGGCTCCGAAGGCCCCGCGTGACAGATCCCGCTGGTGGGAGGAGGCTGGGGCCCGGGAGCCCGGCTTTGCGGGGTGAGGGGAAGAGAGGCCCAGGCTGTAGCGGGCAGGACAGGAAGTGGCAAGGGGACCGGCAGGTTGGGCCAGACCAAGGCATTCAGAGTTGCCAAGAGGTTCAGGTCTTTTCTTCAAGGGAAGCACTGAGGATGCTTGAGCAGAGCTTTGCATTAGAAAGATTCCTCTACTAGCAAAGGGTTAATAGACAAGTGCTGGGAATGGGGCTGCGGGTGAGGGTGAGGGAATAAATGGAATAACCCGGCTAAGCAGAGAGGGCTTGGATCGGGTCACACAGACGTGAATATGGAGGTAGAGATGTGGGGGGAACGGAACTGGGTGTCTGATAAAGGGCGCGGCCCGCTCCGCACCAAGCTGAAGAAGCGGCAAGAGAGTCCGTATTTGCAGGGAGATCTTTGGAAGTCGGAGGCTAAATGACTGACATGAGCTTCCTGAGCAGGAAAGCTCTGGGTGCACACGCTGCTCTGGGGTCGGGTCCAGGAGGCAAACCTGACATTTAGGGGGGACATCCCGGGGAGGAACTGGCTCGCTCCGGGCTGGATGGGGGAGAGAGCTTCCCTTTTCTCCGTATGCTTCTGTTTACTCTCACACTTCGCACTCCGTGTGTTTGCTGCTTATTTGATAATTATTTTTAAATGCAAAGAGCCCATCATGGCTGGAGGGGGAGTTCCCGAGGCTCCGTTATTAAAGAGTCACGTGTATGACGGAGGGGTGGGAATTAGGGGGAGAGCTGGAGGGCAGCAAATGCAGAATTGTCACATCTCCTGAGGACAGTGTCAGGAAGACCTAAAGGCAGCGAGAACCAGCTGAGCACAGCCATGTTGGTGTCAGGTGTCTGCGGGCGGGCGAAGGGACAGTTCCTTTGGGCAGTTCGGGGAGTGCTGTCAAGGCTGGAAACATCCCAACTTCCACCAAGTTCAAAAGGCAGCAGAACCCCTCTCCCTGGGAGGAAAGGTTTGCAGGTGCACCTCCGCCTGCGGGCGCTGGAGGTGCCGTCTGGTTCCCCGGAGCGGATGGATCAGGCTGTGGGTGGCAAGGAGCTGGGGCTGAGGGCGCCAAGCCCGGCAGGTGCTGCTCTCCGGAGTCCTGTGCTGGCCAGGACTCGGGGGAGAAGGGCTGCCTCTGTCCCTCACAAACCCACAGCGCCCACTTCCAGGTTTGGGTAGGGGGAAAGCACCAGGTTATTTCCCACAGCGGGAGTGTCAGGAAGGCTGGGGGTGGAGCACAGGTATTTTGGGAACTCTGTTCTGGGCTGGGCTGATCTGGCCTGATCCCAGCTGACACGCTCTGGTCTATGAGATCCAGGCTGTGGAGAAGACAGAAGCCAGGGAGTGGGCCGTTGGTGAGGGACTTGCTCAGGGAGGCGGTGCCCCCAGGTTTTAGCCGCTTGCTCTGTGTTAACCCCGGATTGTGTCAGCACCAGGGAGGTGACCAAGAGGGAAGTTGAGGTGGGAAGAAAGCTGTCACCAGCAGAGACACATGGCAGAGAAGGAAGTAAACGCTGGGAGGGTGACAGCTGACATGTGGGACATTTCCACTGCCCGCCGAGAGGGGTCGGTCCGAGGGGCTGGGGCCGGGCCTTTGGGCTGCGCACGGACGGTAGCGCTTCTGCGGAACTCCCGCTGCCGTCGGCCTCGAGACCAGTCCCTCCGTCTCTGCCCCCCCCCCCCCCCCCCCCCGCCCCGGCGCCTGGCTGTGGTTGGATTTATTACAAAAGGGCACGAATAGGAGGGTAATCATGACTCTCGGGCTGCCTCGCAGGTGGACTGCATTTTACCAGTTACTGACATGAGACATTTTTTTTCTTGCAGCTCCAGATGATGAAATGAAATCCTCAGTCACTAACTGGAAACAACTTAAAATACCTCTGCAGTATTACACAGTCTTCCAAAACCTTCACAGTTACCTTAACTGGTAACTTCATCAGTGTTTTGGTGGGGTTTTTTTGTTTGTTTGTTTTTTTAAGAAAAAAACAAACCAAGGAGATTACCCCTCCCCAGTACTGTGTGACAGCTAGTCATCTTATTGTCCCTGGTGCTGTGGCGGCTCTTGTAAATAACTGTAATTATGTACAGAAACAACTAGGTGGCTTGGCTCTTTCTCTCCTAAGTTAAAAAAATAAAGTGGCCACGTACCGTACGAGGCCACGGCTTTTTACTGAAACCTGCACTCCCCTTCTCTGTTGCTTTAGAGCAGTGGTTCTCAACCTTCTGGCCCTTTAAATACAGTTCCCATGTTGTGGCCCAACCATAAAATTATTTTCGTTGCTACTTCATAACTGTCATGTTGCTACTGTTATGAATCGCAATGTAAATATCTGATATGCAGGATGGTCTTAGGCGACCCCTGTGAAAGGGTCGTTCAACCGCCAAAGGGGTCGCGACCCACAGGTTGAGAACCACTGCTGGGGCAGTGAGATTCGCGCCATGAAGATCTGTTACCCACTTAGCGTGCTGTGCTCGTTGTCACACATTAAAAAACAAACAAACATATTGCAGTGGTTGAGTGTTGACCTATGTTGCCACCACACACCACTGGGAATGAAAGCTGCAGAGGAACGTGAACATGGGCAGCAGGAACAGAAGGCATAGAAGAGGTTAGAAAAGCAAAAGGAAGGATGAACTAAGAAACCAGGATTCTTGCGGAGAGAGAAACGGGGTAGCCCCGTGGTGCTCAAGTTGGTGTAGCCAGAAAACACGGTGAAGAGAAGTCACGTGCTCGGGAGAGATGGAGAGTCACACGTGTGCGCACACCCACCCGCAGCCGCACCCGCACCCACGTCGTTCACGGAACATCTACCATGTGCCGGTCACAGTGCTGAGCTGCCTCTCGGCCCTCACTAGCAGGCAGGTGGGGCTTTTGCTCCCATTATATGATTCCCATCGTTCAGAAGGAAAGACAAAGCAATAGAAGAGCAGTAACGTGGTGGAGATGGCTTTGCTGCTCAGCGGTAGAACCGGGATCCGGGCCCCAGGCCTCGGCCGGGCCCCCAGCTGGGCCTGGGAAAGGCTTACGCAGCAAGTGGGGAGCCGTCGAGCTAGATCAAGGCTGGGTTGGGGGATTTCTGAGGAACTGGTGTGGTCACAGGGGCCTTCCGGGCGAGGTTTCAGCCCTGTAACTGCTGGGGGCCCTGAGCTGGGGCCCGGAGGCTGAGGGGCTTATGGGCACAGCTGAACACGCCCTGGAAGGAGTGACTCATCACCCGCTGGCCGGCCCTGGCGATTGCATCACATGTGGTGAGCATGCAGCAGCGAGTTGCAGGAAGTGCACCTTCAAGGAGCTGCTGGCTCAGCCCCCGAGGGCATGAGCAGGAATGAGCAACCATTTTACTGCTGCTGGGCCCTCGCCTCGGCCTCTGGGAGACAAGACTGTTGGGGACGGAGACTGCGGCCTGGAGGAGCCTCGCCAGTCAGGCCGCGGGTGCTGAGGACGGTTGCCCATCAGCAGCTTTGAGGAGCTGCCCACGTAGGCCCCACTGTGTGACCTCCAGGGGGAGGTCATGAAAGCCAGGAAGCTCCCTGAGCCTGCTCCCACCTGCAGAGGAAGGGGAATAACGCTGCCCCCGCCCCAAGGGGGTGCCGTCTCTGTGAAACGGGGAGGCACTACAGAAGCTACAGAAGCGGCAGTGTGTGGCAGAGACAGAGTGGCCTCGAATGAAACGCCTGGACTCCCCAGAGAGGCCGGTGGGAGATCCCCTGTGTGTGTGTGTGTGGGGGGGGGGGGGTGATTCCATCCAGAATCAAGGGCCAGAGGGCCTTGCCCTAGGCCAGGGGTGGGCAACCTTTTTGTGAGTGCGTGCCAAAACCAGCAAAATCTCTGACTCAAAATTCTGCGTGCCAACCCTATTTTTTTGAGAACATGTTACGCCTACTTGATATCTCTTAAGGTGTATATTTGAAGAAATAAAATTCATTCGAGCGACAAAAACACAGTATATGATGATGAAAAATACATTTATTTTTTAATGTATACATGTACACTGATAGTCCGACAGGAAACTTTATGACTCCGTTTGATATCAGTGGGACTTTTGCTGATGCATCACTGATGACAGAGATTTTACGTCAGGTTTATATTTCGTGACCTTCAGAGATATGCCCGAGCTACTACTTTCATCTGTCAGGCTACTCCTATTACGGGACTTAACAAAATTCATCACTGAGTTTATGTGGATGAAACCAAAACACTGGTCGGATCTAGAAAGGCAGGGAGAGTTAAGGCAGAGGCATAGAAATTGCTCTTCCCCTCTCTCGTCAATCCATGTCTATGGTCTTTAAGATAACTTGTTACGTAAAATTATTTATTTATCTAAGATGCACCTACACTGAATTTATCTGAAAAATAAAAAGTTGATATTAAAAAAAATTGTAAATGGAAGATTATAAGAGAGGGTTTCACGTGCCAGCAAAAGTTACTGGCGTGCCATGTTTGGCACGCGTGCCAGGGGTTGCCCACCCCTGCCCTAGGCCCCCCTCCTGGGAATGCAGGGTGTTAACTGTAAACCTGTGGAGCAGCCGGGCTTCCCGTGCAGCCCCGGCCCCCTCCTCCCCACAGACTTCTCCACCTGAGCAGAGCGTCTGCCTCTGGGAACCTGTGAAGACCGTCCAGCAGACGGGTGCTCAAACCTCAGCTCTTCCCTGTGTGAGCCGAAGCCAAGCCTGGCCTCCGTTTCTTCCTGACCCCTCCCGCGGCCGCTGTGGAGAAATACCGTGTGAAGCTGACTCCCTGCTGAAGGCCCTTCTCCACTGTGGTGGTTCCTCGCCCAGTGGGAGGAGGGAAGGGCGAGAGGGACTTTCAGGAATCCCACCAGGTGCTGTGCGTGTGCCTCCGGATGGGGGCGCGTCTTACCCTGCCTGCTGCCCGGAAAGGGAGTGTGGTCGCCCTTCCTTTACAAAGAGGCCCTGGGGCTCAGAGAGGGCCAGCTGCTCCCCAGGGTCCCCGCTTAGACCTGGGCCCTCACATAACCCCATACCCCCAGCCGTTCAGATCGGCCATTATTCTTCTTGCTGGCAAAGTGAGAAGAACCTCAAGGTACCAAATACATGCCGATGACACAAGGGTCAAACACAGTCTCATGTTTGTCAGGGACTTCTGTTAAATCACCTCTTTTTTCTAAGAAAATGTATTGATTGCTTTGTAAAGAGCAAGGAAGGGGAGAGAGAGAGAGGCATCGACTTCTCGTTCCACCTATTTGTGGATTCATTGGTTGCTTCTCGGATGTGCCCCATCCAGGGATCGAACCCGGAACCTGGGTGTATGGGGACGACGCCCCAACCAACTGAGCTACCTGGCCAGGGCCTCTTGGATGACTCCTATCACCACTGTCCTTTTCCTTATCTCACTCTGCCTGCACCCACCCCACACCTAGTTGGAGCCTAAAACCAGAGAGTTAGGGACTCCGAGGCCATCCGTCCAGCTGGAGGGGAGGAAACCGAATTCCAGAGCATCTGCTGCCGGTCACCGGTTCGCGCCGGAGCCCCGCCTCCCGAGAGGTGCTGTCCTCCCCTGGCCCTCCCTCGGGAGCAGGTGTTGGAGACACAGCAGCAAGGGCGGGTGCATCACGGCATCTGCCTTTGCACTGGATGCTGGTCCACTGATTGACTGACACCTTATTTTGCCGGGTCCACATCCGGTTGCTAAGCAATGAATGTTTCCATAGAAAGTGGTTGTTTTGGGACGTTACTGAGCCGGTCACATCCCCTAAACCAGTGGTCGGCAAACTGCGGCTCGCGAGCCACATGTGGTTCTTTGGCCCCTTGAGTGTGGCTCTTCCACAAAATACCAACTTCTGCGCATGGGCCACGAAGTTTCGATCGCACTGTATGTTCGCACCCGCATGTGGTATTTTGTGGAAGAGCCACACTCAAGGGGCCAAAGAGCCGCAGTTTGCCGACCACTGCAAACCAATGGGAGGAGGCCATTACCTGACAAAGTAAAATGCATCTATAATAATAAAAGTATAATATGCTAATTAGACCAGACGTCCTTCTGGACTACCTTCCGGACGAAGCCAGAGCTGTGAGGGAAGCCCAGGTCCCAGGTGTCAGAGGGAAGCCGGTGCCGGCAGCCAGGGGAAGGAAGGCTTACTCTTGCATGAATTTCGTGCATCGGGCCTCTAGTCCATAACTGAAATTCATTTCAACCTTGTGGCTCATAGAGATAGTTTATGTCAATGTAACCTGGCTTTCCACTCTCTCATGGAATGCAATGCAGGTCTGCCTGCCTGCCCACAGCAGCTAACTGCATGGCGTAGGTGCTTGCTGTCTGATCATGGGAAAATTCTTAGGGATGTGAACCCCATCTGTGAGCTGGGACTAATGACACCCATCTCACTGGGTTAAAGGAGAGGAGGCATGTCCCATGCTTGGCAGAGGGTCTACTCCTGTGACAGCAACTATCCTGCATGTGTGACATAACTATAAGGCTTCTATAGCGACCAGGAAGGCAGGGTAATGGACAGCAGGGCAGGCACTAGGAGACAACAGGGAGTGGTGCGGACTGTGGCAAACTGGAAAATCCTTGCCAGTCCAAAGGGGGCAGCAGCTCCTCAGCTTCAGCCACTGCTGCTGGGTGAGAATTCAGAACAAGTGTTGCCTGACTTTCAGAAATGCTGGGAGTCCTAATTTGTAATTTTGGGATTCAATTCAAATAAAAACCCACAAACAATAGCAACAACCAATAACTAACAACATTATGGGACACACTAAGCAGGTCCTGGAGCAAAGCTGGACTGAAGGAAGCTAACACAGAGCCTCGGCGAGGGCCCGCTGTTCTAAGGGGTGGAGTTGCCCCACAGGGGAGACCCGAGAAGTAAAGGCAGGTGCAGAGGGAGCCCTCCCACCAGGTCTAGGGAACGGCAGCCGAGCTGGAACATGCATACACCAGCCTCCTTCAGCAGGGATCTGAGGAGGACAACACTCATTCCGTTGAATGTCCTGGGACCTTGACTCAAACACAACATCGGCCTGTATACTCCTAGCCAGGAATGGAGGCCCGGGACGGAGGGCTGGGACCCGAGGGCTGTTCTGGAGCTCTTCTTAGGGACGGCAATACCACCAACGTCCACTGGGTGTCGCTCTCATATAAATGATGGCCCCACAGTCCCTAATTCTGCCAGAAAGGCAGGTCTGGGACCCAGTGGGATGCAAGGCCAGGCCAGGCCTCCCTCGGAGGATTGCCGCAGTTCAGATGCTCTTCCCAGGGACCTGACTCCCTGTTAAATGTGCATAGAAACCAGACCTGGATTTGAAGGGCAGCTCTCCTGCCAGCCAGCCAGTCGTCTTTCCTGGGCACAGAAGGTCCTTGGAGATACTCTGCACACCAGGACCCTGCGAACCTTAGTGTCTCCCAGACTCTGCCGCCTTGCCCGATGGGCCGCCCAAGACAACATCCCAGGCTTCAGGGATCCCCTTTTGGGAGCAGCTTCATCAGCTCAAACGTTCTCGCTTGGAGGTCAAAGATCTGGACTTGGGTTCTGGTTCTGGTGCTTA